CAGACTGAGGAAGTCTCTTGGATGAGAGACGAAATGTTTCTATATTTGTTTGCTTTGTTTTGTTTTTGTTTTTTTTGAATGTCCAGAGGACCAGATTGAACTTTTTTGGATTTTTCTACCTGGATTATTGAGCATGCATCAGGATAAATTAAATTATTATATTTTACTTATTTTATTGATTTAAAGGGGAAACGGCAGGTGATGGTGTTTTGTCTCTATCTGCATGCATGTGTGTGTGTTTGTTAGCAAAGTATCTAATGAAACACGGGACAGGTTTTTATGAAGCTGTCAAAAAGTAATTGTACATCTAGAGGCCACGACCAACGGTCCTTAAAAAGACACAGAATGGCAACAGTTAGGTCTGTTTTACAGGATGTGGTCTGAACTCTGATATGGCAGCAGAGAGTCACTCACAACACAGTCTGAGGCATGAAGCTGTGCACAACATTGTTTCAAGGTTCGACCAAAATGAACTCTGTCTATTATCAGCATTATATGATCTTAGACTAAAACTTTGTCCATATTGTCAATAATCTCTTTGCTTCAGCCTGAACCTTCATGTCTGTGCAGACCTCCACTCCCTTTGCTCTTCCACAAATCCAGAGATGTTTTAATTCTGATTTTGAAAGAAATCCTTATCTGAGCTGATTTTCAACCAGTTTGATGGTGCTCAGGTGGTCCCACCTGGTTGACCCATCATGAGAAGGTGTTATTTATAAGACAGTTTGATGCAGTTCCTCAGAGTGAAGAAGTCTTTTGGATAAAAGATTAAACATTTCAAAAAGAAGAATCCGTCCAGTGGACCTGACTGAACTTTGTTAATATATAACAAAACTCCCCAGACCGACAACATCAAAATGTGGGTGGGAAAGGTGAAGCACCCAAACCTGCCTCCACCCTCATTTGCCCCACTTGACCCTTGAGCAAGGCCCTTAGCCCCCACCATCTGCTCCCCCAGACAGCAGCTCTCTGCTCCACACAGAGGGCTGTGGTAGCTCGGTGGTCTGTGGTTGAGTCAGGATGGACATCAGGTGTAAAAATAATTGCCAAATTTTCGTGTTCGATGCAGCGACCCCTGACTAAGGGAGCAGCCGAAAGAACAATAAAAATAAAAGTAGCAAAAGGCTAGCTAACAGTAGCAAGAATAGCTAAAAGCTAAAACTGCAGCAAGCAGCTGAAGTAAAATTCAGTTTGAGTCCTTTATTCTTTTAAATGATAAAAAAGTTAATGATGTTAAATATTACAAAAAGTAACAAGTTACATAAAACAAAGTGGTAAATCTTAAATGAGCTGAATGTATCGATGGTTAAATCAGCTGAAACAAGCTGAAGTAGTTACAAACTGAGTGATACTAGCAAACACAGCATTGTATCACTCAGCCCTCTGTGAATAGTAAACAGCCATCAGTGTGCTAATGAGCCATTGTTAGGCTGATGGTCCTTCTTGAGCATGTGAGCAGCTGGTTTTGGTTGTCAGCAGCAAACTGGTTGATCCACTCTGAGAAGGTGCTATTTAAGAGACTGAGCTGAATACAGCACCTCAGACTGAGGAAGTCTCTTGGATGAGAGACGAAACGTTTCTATATTCTTTTTGCTTTGTTTTTTTGTTTTTTTCTTTTTTTTTATTTTTATTTTGAATGTCCAGAGGACCAGATTGAACTTTTTTGGATGATGAGCTAATAGTCTGAGTGGGGCCAAGACCAGAAGAAGGATTTATTTTTTAATAAATAAAAGTTAATTTTAAATGTAATTAAAAATAAAAAATAAAAAAAAACCTTTATATTGCTGACACTTTTGCATGAAGTGGTTATTTATGAAGAATTGTCTGATTATTTGTAGAACATGTGGTGCAGCCCGGAGTAATTCCTGCTGGAACAATAACTGTGTAGAACAAAACGGATGACATAAAAACTGTAATACAGCAATGTGAAGCATGTCAGCATCAGAAAAGAGGTTCACCACAGCATGTGCAGGGACAAATACACAGAGGAAAGGGACCAGGTCAGATCTGGCAGATGGATTTCATTGGCCCTTTGCCCATGTCACAGGGGTGTAGATATGTATGTACAGCTGTAGATACATATTCAGGTGTGTTGGTGACTCATCCCTGTAAATATGCAAATCAGACATCTACTTTAAAATGTCTTAGTATGATGGAATCATTTTTATGGGGTTCCCCTTCAGATACAAACAGATAATGGGACCCATTTTACTGGAAAACAAGTTAAAGATTGGGAAGGGGAACAACATGTTGAATGGATTTATCACATTCCTTATCATCCACAAGCTGCTGGGCTGATTGAGAGAATGAATGGACTGTTAAAAGAAATGCTGAGAAAATTAAATGACAAACATGATTTGACTAACTGGAAAGTAAATTTGTTGCAGGCTGTGTCTCAATTGAATAACAGACCCATTGCACCAGGCACCACTCCTTTGAATCGGACGATTAGTGTGTACAGCACCCCAGACAAAGAACCAATCAGGATGTGGAAAATTGATGACAGAGCTGAGTTGCCTGTCAGAGCAACTCCTGGATCTGCTGGACTAGATCTGAGGACTCTAGAGCCAGTGACATTGATTTCAGGTCAAATTCAAGTTATAAAAATTGGTCTGGGCCTGCAATGTCCTAAAGGAATGTATGGACACATTTTACCCCGATCCGGATTGTCCTTGAAAGGACTCATTATTCAAGCTGGGGTAATTGATTCAGATTATCAAGGGGAGTTGGGTGTGGTCTGTAGACATCAGGGTGACATTCCCTTGGTGCTAGAGAAAGGAGACAAAATAGAGCAGATGCAACAGTTTCAGTGTTGTATTCAGGGGAAGAAAAATGGGTGAATGTACCTGTAAACAAATGTTACCTGAGAGAAAACTAATGATCATTTTTTATCTTTAAGTAGTTTTTCTTGTTTCTACAGCTTGATGTTTTCTTGGTCTTTGTTGACTGGATGATTGGGACCACCCAGGAGCTAACATGGGAGAAGGTGGTGGCAAGTGTCTACTAACTGGCAGTGCAAGCTGTTGGGGCATCAGGTTCCTTGTCGTAGGTGCCATGGTGTTCCTGGTCAGCCTCTCCTCAGACAAAGTAACTCCACATGTTTGAAACACAAAAGCTACTTGATAGGGAACATCACAACTGACTGTCCTATGTACAAGTGTCGGGCATGCTACAACAGGTAAACCATCCCAGCGATACCTAAGGGATGTCAGATTAGAATTTATGTGGAAACCCCACTGTATAACATGTATAAGAACAGTACATGTAAACCAGATGGAAAAAATGGAACAAAGTTTGACTTTACTGCCAACAACACAGAAGAGAGAAACATGCCTTGTTGGCAGTTACCCTAATTGGGGTCTTGATGCCCTCAGTAGTCATGACTCAAGAAGAAACGGCCAAAATACTGCTAAAAGAAATAAACTGGCAGTTGAAGATGTGGGGTAACACTGAAGAAGTACTCCAAAACATAACCCAGGTGCTGAACTGGACCACGTGTACCCTGCAAACCATACATGCACAGTTGCAGAAATAATGCTTCCAGAGGATAGTGATCACCTCAAATCATCATGAGTGGAGAAAGCTGTGGAACATTTCAAGTACTCACTGGGTGGTCTTAAAACCTGAATTGACAGAATGTACTGAATATATGTGTGAAGGTTATTGGGTTCAGTATCTTGTAAGTGAAATAACTACAGTATGCAAGTATCATGTTTTACATGTAATAACTGTACAAGGATATTGGTTTTTAAAAATACAGGGTGAATGTATGTTGAGCATGCATCAGGATACAGGGTGAATGGTTTGAGCCACAGACAAATCTCACCTATGACGTGCAACTATGCGGGACGGCTGATAAAGGAGTGGTTTGTATGCTACAAACAGGTCATGTTAACCCATGTTTAACCAAAGACGAGGTATTGTGTGATTGGACTCATGAACCAGCTAGAGACATGCTATGGCAGATAGGCCCACATACTCTGTGTATAGCTACAATTAAGAGTCATCCTCAATTACCTAAGGTGCCTTTCTCTGGATGTGTGTATGGTGTACATCTGTGGACTTGGAACAACCAGACTTATCAATTAACTAATTACAGTTCCACCACTCGACTAACAGAGGTACAATGGCAAACTTTGCACGTACCCTGGCGAGTCTCCCTAGACCGTGTCAAATGTGCATTGAATGAGTCTACGGAGCTGAAAAGAATGATTGAGTTGCATAAGTCAAACGTGTCTAATCTAACAGTGTCCACCTACATTGCTCAAGGAAAGGTTTTACATGCGGCTAAGCT